GTTCTCTAACACCAAAGGTGATGTGTTATATTTTTTGTTATATATTTTTTGTTATATATTACAAAACATGGATCAATAAGTTATTCACATAATTTATTCTATTTTTATTGTTTTGTTATAAAAGATGGTTCAAGCTCTTATATGTGGGCAAGATTGGATTCGTGCACAACTTCGCAAACCAAAACTTGATATGGAAGAGAATTTAGAAGAATTAGAAAAAATGGAGAAAGGTATGGAGAGTACTACTTTAGTTTTTTTATTTTATTGTTTAATTGTGAATGATGGAATAAATGTAATATGTAACTTTCACATCACCAGATTTGAAGAATGCAAACATTGATGATGATTTGATCTTTGTCACGGAATGAAGAAAGTGATTACAAGTAATTTTGTAGACTCTTATTTCCATTCCAATGTTTTTAGTACTATTATATTTTCTTCTTTCAACAATCCCTTGCATTTTGTATTCCATTGCAGTTTACATGGCTAATGGGTCCTAGTGCAATTGAGAAAAAAGCTTGTTACAAAAGGGATGAAATGTATTTTTTGCTCTCTACTTTATTACCCAAGTGTAATTTTTATCTCATGAAAGATTTTTCAGTTTCATACATTTCCATCCCTACAATCCCATGAGAGCATGAAGATTTTAGTTGAATTGTTTTTTTAAATCAATTGCTATCCTACTCCCCAATTCCCCGTGACTTTTTGTTTTGTACAAATGGTGAATGGATGTTGCTACTTACTATTTCTTGTATGGAATTATATTTTGTAGTGTTTTGGTTGTATTAGATTTAAAAAATTCAACTGAAAAAAAAAATTTCGGTCTATTTCGGTTCGGTCTAAATTTTTTCGGTCCGGACCGGTCCAAGACCGACTGTGAATCGGGTCGGTCTTCGGTCCTATATTTTTCCAATTTCGGTCTTCGGTCCGGTCCGGTCCGGTCCGGTTCGGTCCGGTCCGGTCCTGGACCGATGAACACCCCTAGCTGCTGGGTTGGGTGTCAAATATTATTAATATGTTTGGGCCAACTCAAATAAACTAACTAACTAACTATATATATATATATATTTTTTGGTTCAGGTGAGAATGCAATCTAATGAAAGAAATAAAAATGAATCTGGTGCATTAGATTGGGAGATCTAAGGGTTAGGATTGCATCAAAATTAGGTGCACCAAGATGGTTTGAAAATGCATCATGTCGAAATGCACCATAATCTTTTGAAAATGCACTATCTCAAAATTTGAGTGCAGAATGCAATCTGAGCCGCACGATGCATCAGATCCAAAGGCCAGATTTTATTCTTATTTCTTTTACCAAGGTGCATTCTCACTTGAACCAGCCCTCCCCTATATATATATATATATATATATATATATATATATATATATATATATATATATATGAACATTGTAGATGAGCATCCCATTGTCAAAAGCTTCATTGGCAGTTTCTCTCTGATCTAGAATAGTCGTGCTTGAATTCGTGAATTGAGTTAATTTATCATGTCGTTTGCATGCTAACAAGACTTACAAACAAGTTCAGTATCATAAATTTAGTTGAAAAAAAAAGGATTCCGTGACTTTTAGAGATGTGCTCTTCCAAAATTAAATGGTTGTACTTTAACCAAACACGGCATTGTTGTTTTGGACTAACGGGGCATGTATATTTTAGCGTGCCTTCTGATTTTTGTTTCCTATTGATTTGGACAGCAATTTGATCAACAAACAAAGTGTAATTACTAATTGATAAAAATTTAGGATGAGATAGTCATAACTAGATTGGTAATAAGATACTTGGGCTGAACCACATTAAAAGATTGAATCCAATCGATTACTTAGTTCAACTCAAGACCTTATATATCGATTACTTTTCTATTCAACTTCTGATGTGTGATAAACTCTAACACTCTTCTCAAGTGGAGAACCAGACCATTTTGAATCTAACCAGTTGACCACTTGCAAATAAACTCTCATTCCCTTGTTTTTTTAGCGCCA